GAGTAGATTGAAAAGTGTTTATTCTTTGGCGAGAGCCAATTAGCATAAATTCAGTTTTAGTCTGGTTTAAAGTAAGTTTGTTTGCTGATAACCATTCACTGACACTAGCAAGATCCTCGTTAAGATTATGATTAATTTCATGTATGTTATTACTTGCATATGTCAAATTAGTGTCATCAGCAAACATTCGTGCCCGAGAGTGTATTAGACAATTAGGAAGATCATTAATATAGATTAAAAATAAAAGCGGGCCTAATATAGTTCCCTGAGGAACCCCACATTGTAGTAATCGATTTGAGGAGAAATGACCGTTAACAAAACACTTTTGATTACGTTCATTTAGATACGATCTTAACCAGTTACCCGCAGTTCCCTTGATTCCATATGCATTAAGTTTGTTCAGCAATATTTCATGATCTACAGTGTCGAACGCTTTTTTAAGATCAAGAAACATTACAGCATTTACATTACCACTGTCAATATTATAAGCCCATTCGTTGGTAGCCTCAAGAAGAGAGGTGACAGTAGAATGTAGGCCTCGAAATCCCGATTGATAATTAGTTAATAATTCATTTTCAGCTATAAATGTATATAGCTGATCATAAATTACCCTTTCAAAAACCTTAGCCACAATAGGAACAATAGAAATGGGACGATAGTTATCGACGCAATTGCGTTTGCCTTGTTTGTATATAGAAATAACTTTAGCACATTTCCATTCGTTTGGGAATATGCCTGTAGTGATAGAACGATTAAAAATAAGACAGAGGGATTCTGCAATTAAGTCAGAGCATTCTGTAATTAACCTAGAAGATATTTTGTCTAAACCTGTTGCTTTAGAAGTGCTTAATTAACGTGGACAGTAATGCGTAAACGGTTGGAATACTTATTTCCCTCAGTTGAAAAATAGCATTATTTTGGTTAGGTAAATAATCAAGATAAGACCGATTGCTATAATTAAGATTAATTTTATCTGCAAGGTCTGGTCCGATGTTTGAAAAGTGATCGTTAAACGCATCAGCAATTTTGTTAGGGTCATTAATTAATACGCCATTCAAATCAACCTCGCCAATGTGAGGGCTTTTCCTATTCTTAGAAGTAAGTTCATTAATGATCTTCCAGGTCTTATTAGGATTATCTTTATTATCATTGAAAGAATTTTTGAAATAGGCTTGCTTTGCGTAGAAGATTTCAGAATTAACAAAATTACGCATTTTCTTAAAAGAAAGCCAATCTTGAGTATCGTTGGAACGAATTGCTTTAATTTTTAGGACATGTTGCCTATGCATTTTATCTTTCAAAAGAGATGTAATCCAATGCGATTTAATAGCCTTAACGCGCTTAGCTCGAATTGGGGCGTGCTTATCTGCGACAGAATTGAATGTGGCTTTCCAAGCATGCCACATGTCATTAGGGTTTTCGTACTGATTGATATAGTTCCAACTCTGTTGACTAATATCATTACGAAATTTAGTAGAATCAAAGTTTTTAAACTTTCTGTAGTTTATTGAAGAATGTACCCCCGTCGATGAACCCACAGAAAGTTTGCGAAAGGCGTAAATAAGACTATGATCGCTTATACTCACATGAGAAACACCAGAGCAAACAACCTTGTCAGGAGTATTTGTGAAAATATGATCTAACAATGTTGAGGAGGAGTCTGTGATTCGAGTAGGTTCATTTATAAGCTGAGAAAGATTATATAAATCGGCAATATCCATGAGTGACTTCGAATCATGATCTAAGACTGTAGAGCTCAAATCACAGTTGAAGTCGCCCATGAGTTAATACTCGATATTTTCGGAATCGAGCATACCTAGAAGAATTTCAAAATAATTGAACATTGCTACAGGCGAATTAGGAGGCCTGTACCAAGTGGTAATAAGAAAAGGCTTGGCTCTAGGTTTATTAACTGAAATACACAGGTTTTCCAATTGCTCAAAAGATAGATCATGCCGAACTGAAAAATTTATACAGCTACGAATATAAAAACAAACCCCACCGCCAAATCTACCATTGGAATCTCTATCTCGCCTAACAATTTCGTATCCAGGTATATGTACTTCGTTGTCACCAACCGTAGAGTCAAGCCTTGTCTCATTAATAGCCAGTACATCAATCACATTATTTGATAGATAGATTCTAAGCTCATCAATATGTTTGACTAAACTGGTGATATTAAGTGAGGCAAGTTTAAAGCCACTCCTGTTTGGCAAGAGCAGGTTTTGAATGTTAGAAGTAGTTTGCATAGTCTTAGATTGAACATTATTTACTAAATTAGCAACTCTAGACAACGTAATATCATGTCAATTTTCTAAGTTATTTATAAACTCTTTGAAATTGTTTTGGAGGGATATACTGCCTAATTTATTTAAATGGAGACCTCTACTGTTGAGGTGACTAGTGTTAATATTAGCGTTTTTAAGGAAGGGAATATTGTTCATATGACAAAGATTTTCTAGTGAGTACAATGATTAATCATCAGAAAGTTTATTCTCCAAATATTCCGCATATGTTTTACGATAACTCTCTTCGTACGAACAGTTTTGTACGTATAGGACCCGTGAGTAATGCTTTGTACGAACAAGTTCGTGCACCAGAGACGTGCGTAGGCTTTATTGTGTTAATCCATGTGTTAATTGATGCAGTCAACCTGAACGTGGTAGCTTTGGCAATAGTATTTTGCTCTTAAAATCAGTACGATTTCATGCTCCCCCCCCATTTAATATCTCCCTTTTGAGCACGCAGCGAAACATTTTTAAAACTTTGGGAAGGATCATAAAGCGAATCTTGATTTTTTGAGACGGACTTCAAGCTTTTGGCGATAAAGAAATTTGTTTTAAATTTCCTGCCCCCGCGCAGCGTGGCTTCGCACGGAAAGGTCGCACGCAAAGGTTAAACGTTGAATTAAGGTCGTACGCAGTACGAACATGATGTGCGCGTGATTATGCTCACTTTACACTACGTTTGCGGGGACCGCTGTACACTAGGTTTATCGTCAATAAACATCAAGTATAAATCGGCTTGGTAAATATAGCTTGACGTACTTTTTAAGCTGCTTTCACAGAGAAAACATCGCAGAGTATTTGATCTATTAGTATGAATTTTATAGCTGAGAAAATTAGCGAAGCGCAAACAGTGGCTGAGCTCACGGCTTTGGAAAATATACATAGTTTGAATCAATTTGGGCAGGGCTTAATATTCGAGAGAAAAGTCGAAATTATTAGCCGTTTGCTGGAATGGGGAGCGGAAAACGAACGAGTTGGGCTTACTGCGAACCTTTCGGATTCTTGGACGCCGGAGCAAAGACAGCAGTTTATGATGGATTGGCAAGACGATGAGCCTTTACTGCAGAACGAACGATTAGGACTCGCTTCGGACTTTATGAATTCTTGGACACGTGAACAACGAGAGAATTTTATGACGGATTGGCAAGACGATGAACCTTTATTACAAGTGGGTCGTGGACAGAAAAGATCCATCGACGAAGTGAATGACGGTGCAGGAACATCTGAACAGGTTAGCGATAACTTTTTTACCGTATCGAATGTTAAGCAAGTTAAAGTGAAAAAGTTCAGCACGACTGGTACGGATTATACAGTTCAATTTATGGACACGTTTGCGCATTTGGAACTTTCTCAATACCACGACCGTCTTCATGAAATATTTGAAAGTTTATTGAATACTGTCACGCAAGATATTCCTATGCAAGATCAAGTTCGTTTTGTGTTGCAATCGCCTCAACTAGAAACCCCCATTTCTCTTCCTTTTTTGCCTCGTCAGCGTCTTACAACTGAGCGGGTTTTAGCTGAAATTGAGCGTGTGATTCAATCTAATCATGAATTTCGTTTGAATGATAGTGTTAATGTCAATTTAATCCACGTTGAAATGCCCAACGGCGGTACCGGCACAAAACGTAGCGAAATCAATTTAGAAAAGCATTTGATAAATAAAAAGACAATTATACGGATCCAAAACAAGGACGACATTTGTCTAGCTCGTGCTTTAGTTGTTGCCAAGGCCAAACTTGAAAACGATAGTCGATATTACCATATAATAAATCATAAGAGACCGCTGCAAACACGTTTAGCTCGTGATTTGCACCAAAAAGCCGGTGTTCCAATAGCGACCTGTGGGATAGATGAAGTCAAACGTTTTCAAACTTATTTATCGGATTATCAAATCAATATCGTTTCAAAAGAACATCAAAATTCCATCATTTTTTCCGGTCCTGAAAAAGACAAAATGATTTATTTATTTTTGCATGATAATCACTATGATGTGATTACGAGTATGCCGGCCTTTTTTGCCAGAAAACGGTATTGTCATACTTGTAAAAAGGGGTATGATAAAGTTATTGACCATTTGTGTGCTGACGCATGTAAATCATGTCGTTTTCCAAATTGTCCGATTGTTTCGTGGCTGCCTTGTGCGGATTGTATGCGTGTTTTTAAAAGTCAAGAATGTTTTGATCGACATAAACAAACTGTAGGCAGTGCAAAATCTATTTGTGGTTCTTTAGTAAAATGTCCTGATTGTCATACTGTTGTAAAAAGGGTAGATTGAGGCAGCATCACTGCGGCTTGACTCGTTGCTCGACATGTAAGGAATACGTCCGCCTGGAGAATCATCAGTGTTACATGCAACCTGAGAAAGAGAGAAACACGACCGTCAGCGCGGACACTGACCTTCTTGACACCGAGGCACATGACGGAGATGATGCCCCTCAAAGTGGGTACAACGAACTGCTATTTTTCGACTTTGAGTGTCGCCAAGAAAATGGAAATCATGAACCCAACTTGTGCGTAGTACAAAACGAAGCAGGAGACGAGTGGGTATTCGAAGGAGATAATACGAGGAATGAATTTTGTGAATGGCTTTTTACAAAGGAACATGCAAACTGTATCGTGTTGGCTCACAACTTTCAAGGTTACGACGGTTACTTTATTCAACAGTACTTACACGAGAATGGCGTAATTCCCGAAGTCATTATGCGTGGTGCCAAGATCCTAACATTAAATGTTCCAATGTTCAAGATTAAGTTTGTCGACTCTCTCAGTTTCATACCGATGAGACTCGCTGATTTTCCAAAAACGTTTGGTTTGAACGAACTCGCGAAAGGATACTTCCCTCATCTGTTCAACACAGCCGAGAATCAAAACTACGTTGGGCCCTTACCCCCGAGTCCGTTTTACCATCCTGGTGGAATGAGTCCTGAGGAGAAAGAAAAGTTTTTGGAATGGCATAATGGTTTGAAAGAGAACAATTATGTGTTCGACTTCCAACAAGAGATCTTGACTTACTGTCGATCTGATGTGGATATATTACGCCGTTGCTGTCTAGAATTTCGCGAGTTATTTCGTGGTGTTACAGACATTGATCCATTCGAGAAATGTCTCACTATTGCATCGGCCTGTAATCTTGTTTTCCGAAAGAACTTCCTAAAAGAAAACACCATAGCCATCATTCCCCCTCACGGTTATCGACCCAAAGACAAGCAATCCCTCTTGGCTTTAAAATGGCTTTCGTATAAGGCTGAAAAAGAAGACCTCTACATTCAACATGCCCGAAATGCAGGAGAAAAGCGTGTTGGCAACTATTTACTGGACGGTTATGATGAAGAAACCAACACAGTCTACGAGATCAATGGGTGCTTCTGGCACGGTAAGTTAACTCAAATAAACGCCTCCATCGAATAAACACCTTGGATTAAAATTATATTATTGTTTTTACAGGATGTTTGAAATGTTATGCTCGGGACACGATAAATCCAGTCAATGGCAGGACGATGCAGGATCTTCATCAAGCCACAGTGGAGAAGATGAGTTACCTGCAGGATCAAGGTTTCGGGGTGTGTGAAGTCTGGGAATGTGACATCAGGAAAGAACTGGAACAAGATCAAGATATGAAGTGTTACTTTGAAAGCTACGATCTGGTTGATCCTTTGGAACCTCGTGATGCCTTCTTTGGTGGACGAACTAACGCCGCAAAACTGTTCCATGAGTGTAAAGATGGTGAGAAAATAAGGTAAGATGTAATAAAATGATTGGAACGATTATGACGTCAGAGCAAATATATTGAAGACGTCATCTTTCTCTTAGGTATGTGGATTTTACGAGCCTTTACCCGTGGTGCAACAAAATGACGCGGACAGTTGTTGGCCATCCCCGCATCATCACAGAAAATTTTGAAGATATTTCCACTTACTTCGGCTTGATTAAATGCACGGTGCTTCCACCTCGAGGTCTTTTCCATCCAGTCTTACCTTATCGAACTCAAGGCAAGTTGATGTTCCCCCTCTGCAAGTTGTGTGCTGATACGTGTAATCAGACTCCCTGTACCCATTCCGACAACGAAAGAGCCATTCAAGGAACGTGGTGTAGCGTAGAGTTGGAGAAAGCTCTGGAGAAAGGTTACAGAATTCTACAGCTAAATGAAGTATGGCATTTTTCTGAATCCTCCGACCAATTGTTCAAAGAGTATGTGGACACCTTTCTCAAGATCAAACAGGAGTCAAGTGGTTACCCTAAGAATTGTTCCACGGAGGAACAGAGACAACAATACGTAGATGAATACCTTGCAGTTGAAGGAATTCAGTTGGATCGAAGCAAAATCGAGCACAATCCAGGCATGCGTGCGTTATCCAAGCTCATGCTAAACTCGTTTTGGGGTATGTATTTTAAACAGTGCATGTATTCTAAATGTCTTTTAGGTGGCATCCGAACACGTGCAACGTTACCGCTACAAATACTCATAATGTATTTTTCTCTATAGGTAAATTTGCACAACGTCCGAATATGGCTAAAGTCGAATTGATCAGTGAAGTGCAAACGTTTCTCGACTATCTGACGTCCGACGAAATCAACGTGCTCGACGCAAATTTCATAAGCGATGAAGTGATTGAGATCCACTACGAAAACAACGAAAATTTTATAGCGCCAAATTCCAAAACGAATGTGGTCATCGCCGCTTTTACAACCGCTTATGCCCGACTCAAATTGTACGGAGTGCTGGATCAACTGAATGAAAGAGTGTTGTACTATGATACGGACTCAGTAATATTCGTCAGCAAACCATGTGAATCAGAGCCCCCGCTGGGTCCTTACCTCGGCCAACTCACTGATGAATTAAAAGAAGGGCACATTACAACCTTCATATCGGGAGGACCTAAAAATTACTGTTATCGGACCAGTTCCAACAAAGTAGAAACAAAGATACGCGGTATCACGTTGAATTGCACCGCAAGGCAAAAAGTGAACTTTGACGTCATTCGCTCATTGGTGTTCCTCTATGCAAAATGTAATGTCAAGGGACAAGTAACCGTTGATATCCCGTTCAGGATAACACGGGACACAAAGACAAAAAACATTGAAACAAAAAGAATGAAAAAGGACTACCGTATTGTATATAACAAACGTGTAATTATTGATGATTATAACACATTACCCTATGGGTATTAACTTTGTAAATAACATAAACAGTTTGAAATAAATATTTTAACAAGGTCGCTTGATCTCAAAGTTAATTTCTGATGTTCAGTTTGTGATAGTGATCCAGATTCACCCCCGTTTCTTCTTCCAGTGTCGCGACTTGCTTTTCATTTTTTCTAGCCAAATCCCACATCAAAATTTCCTTAGCGTTCATATGATAGGTAAAGTTGTTCCCCTGAGGGGCCCGAGGTACTGTTACACCCGTTAATGTTTCCAATATGATTTGCGTCAACATGATTGAGTGCAATGTCGGATTGTCAATAAGCGTTGCGGGTATCATATTCTTCTCTATCAAAAGCTTCATCAAATCCAAAGTTGCCAAATTTCCATCTTGCGTTAAGAATTTGTCCGAAAGCCAATGAGTTACGATGTCTCTCCAAGCCATGTTGCTTCTATCAGATGCTTGTTTGATCTGATCAAAAATTTTAAAAGGTACTGGGTTTTTATAGATTTTGCTCACATGACAATTTGCATAGTGTCGACGCTGTACGTTTTTATAGGTTACAATAACTGAAAGGTCTCGTGTTTCAACGCCCGTCTGTGTTCCACGCAAAAAACGGTTTTCCAATTGTCCGCATTATACTTGATCAATTCGTGCACTTTCATTTCGCTCAAACTTCTAGTAAAAGCTTCAATAACTTTCGTTTCCGAAGCCTTTTCCAAAGCATAGTCAAAATACAAACATAATTGTTCATCCCTTTCCATCGTAAGACATTGATGATGCGTTTGGGACAGATGCTCTGTCATGCATCCGTTACAATTTTCAACAACGAGCTGGGAGATGATAGGAGCTATTTCTTCAGCCGAAATTTTCAAAAGTTTCTTTACGACAAGTTTCTGGCGAAGATGGAGAACTAATTCCATATTATCAATGTCGATAGACTCAGCACGAAACATGTTTGATCTTCACTTGACTGTTGACTGTTTCTTTTAAGTGCAAAACGTTTAAAGTCGGACGTACCTATAAAAATCTTTTCATACTAGAGCGTACGTCATGGGACACACTGCCAGCAAAAATCCGAAGATTAACAAAGATCATAATAAACAGAAAATGTTTAGAATCGGTATAAGTGTTGGACGAAATGATCTCAATGTTGAGGGACATTTACAGGCGGGGTACAGCAGTAAAACCATTAAGAACTACAAACCAGTTGAAAATACTTTAACAAGGGACAAACCCCTTGAAAATACGTTGCCAAAGGATGATAGCATTCAAAACGTTGAAGAATAAAGCGAATCCTTCATTTCATGTGTGAACATGGACGAATACCTATCTAGCGTCTATTACGATCCAAAACGTCCTGGAGGATTTGGCGGAGTGGATCGTTTGTATGATGACGTCAAAAAGGAAGGAAAGTTTGCGATAAGTCGTAAGAAAATTAATGAATGGCTGATGAAACAGGATGCGTATACGTTACATAAACCGATGCGTCGTCACTTCAGACGAAATCGCGTCATCGTAGGCGGTATCGATCAGCAATGGCAAATGGATCTGGCAGACATGCAGTCCATGCAAAAATTTAATGACGGTTACCGTTATCTGCTCGTGTGCATCGATGTCTTTTCCAAATATGCATGGGTAGTCCCGTTGAAAAACAAAACGGGTCCAACACTGGTCGAAGCTTTCAAAGTCATTTTGGCATCTGGACGCAAACCTGAAAAGATCATGACCGATCAAGGAACAGAGTTTTTAAACAAACATTTTCGAGCGTTGATGAAAGAAGAAGACATCGAGCTGTACAATACGTACAACGAAACGAAAGCTTCTATCGTGGAACGTCTCATTCGTACTCTGAAGACTAAAATGTGGCGTTATTTTACGGCCAAGAAAACCATGAGATACGTGGACATGTTACCCGATTTGGTCTATTCCTACAATCATAGTGTTCACCGTAGCATAAAGACAAAACCCGCGGAAGTAACTACTGAAAACGAAAAGAAAGTGTGGCACACTCTGTATGATCATGACGCCGTGAAAAATGTAAAGTACAAGTTTAAGATTGGTGATCAAGTTAGAATTAGCAAGATGAAACGAACGTTCGAAAAAGGGTACTTGCCAAATTTCTCAAAAGAGATCTTTATTATAAGCAAGCAAATACCTCGCGATCCTCCAGTGTACAAACTAAAGGATCTGGACGGTGAAGAACTCAAAGGAACGTTTTACGAACAAGAGCTGCAAAAGGTGATCAAAGAAGATGACGTGTACGAAATTGAGAAAATCTTGAAGAAACGTGGACGTGGCAATAACGTACATTATCTTGTAAAATGGTTAGGGTACCCAAATAAATTTAATTCATGGGTATCCGCTTCTGAAATAAATAAGATTTAAACCATTGAACGTGTTGTCTGTTTGTTATTTTCATTTGTAACTCACAATGAGCGGAACACATTTTTACCTCACGCTTCCTAGCAATGCATCCTCAGACATCTTTCCCGATAACAAGACGACAAGTTATCGAATCAAATTACCTCAAGCTATTAATTTGAGTGGTGAATGGGAAGTGGGTTTGTATTCAATAAACTACCCTCGGACATGGTACACTCTTGGTAATTTTGATACCCACATTTATACCAGTGATCAGAGTGGTCTTTTCAGTACTACCATAATCGATTATGGCTTTTATGAAACAATGCCTGATCTGGTGAAATCTGTTAATAAAAATTTGGCAAAAGATGTGAGCGATAACATTAAGTTGACATTCAATGTTCGTACAGAAAAAGTTACAGTCCATTTAAAAAACAAGTATCAATTGGTTGTGACTAACAAAATGTCGATCGTGTTGGGATTTGGTGGAAAAGAAACGAAAATAGTGAAAACGACAACAAGTCCTTACGCAGCTGACTTACATGGTTTCATGGCGATCTATGTATATTGCGATATTGTGCAACCTCAAATTGTCGGAAATACCAGTGCCAAATTACTCAGAAGCATTCCCGTCCAAGGAAAGTTGGGTGACGTCATTACTAAAACGTTCACGAACATACAATACGTTCCAGTCCAAACCAAATCTTTTGAAGATGTGGAAATAGTTTTAAGGAACGACACAGGCGATCCAGTGCCATTTGAACGGGGCAAGGTGGTGACGACACTACATTTCAGACAGCGTAGTTACTTCTCCTGAAAAGATGAATAATCCTTACGTACGCTATTATTTGGATCAACAGCAAGGGCACGGGATGCCTGTTTTCTCAGGTAGCCCTTGGCAAGCCGGTTATGGTCACCAGATGGGCTATGGAATCGGGGGTCTGTTTCGCAGCGTGGCAAGAGCGGTGATGCCCATGGTGAAAAGCGGAGCAAAAGCTCTAGGTAACATTGCCCTGAAAAGTGGCGCTGACTTTGTGGGTGATGTTCTTGCCGGTAAAAACGTCAAAGAAGCAGCAAAAGCACGAACCGTGGAGGCTGCAAACGTTGCGAAAAGAAAAGCTATAAATAAGCTGAAGAGTCAAACAGGAAGTGGAAAACGTGCGAAGGGAACAGCTAAAAAGAGAAAGGCATCAACAGCTACAGCCAGAAGCAATCAGACCAAGAAACGGAAAACAGCTCAAGACATATTCGATTGAAAGCATGAATTTCGTTCATTCTAAGTCGCAAGAATGCACAAAAAGTGAACTCGATCTATTCTCTGTACCTCCGACACAGACCAGTTTAGAAAAAGGACATTGGATAGATCATCAACCTGTTTCCAGTGTAGCTGATGGAGGTTCCATTACGTTCCTGTCTCCAGGCACTGAAGATTACGTCGATCTTGCTAAAACAATCCTCGTAGTGAGAGCAAAAGTGACGAAAGCTAATGGTGCAAATCTTGATGCAGACGAAAAGGTTAGGCATTTATAGCTCTTTATAATTATTTGTAAATATTAAATTATCAAAATTTTCAAGAGTGTAATAAAAAATTATTGTTAAAGGTTGGCGTTGTGAACAATTTCCTACACAGCATGTTCAAACAAGTTGACGTCTTTCTGAAAGAAAAGCAAGTCACTCAGGCTACTGGGACGTATGCGTACCGTGCTTATCTGGAAACCCTCTTGAATTATGGCCCCTCAGCAAAAGATTCCCAGCTCACCGCAGCTCTGTTTTACAAGGACACTGCGGGAACAATGGACATCGCAAATCCTACCACAGCAGGTGACGCAGGCAACGCTGGTCTTAGAGCAAGATACGTTTTCAGCAAGACAAGTGGAATTATTGAAATGGCTGGACCTATATTTAGCGATGTATTTATGACCGAGCGTCTCCTGCTGAGTTACGTAGATCTGAAAGTTATTTTGAATCGAAGCAGCAACGAGTTCTGTCTGATGGCCTCCGAGGACGATGTTGATTTCAGAGTGAAACTCACCGACGCCTATCTCAAGATACGTAAAGTGAAAGTCAGTCCGAGCATTTCCGTGGCCCACGAAATTACGTTGAAAAAAGGACCGGCCATCTATCCCATTCGTCGCGTCGAATGCAAGAGTTTCATCGTTTCCGCAGGCAACCCCTCTCTGAGAAAAGACAACATGTTCAATGGACTTGTACCGAAAATGTTTGTCTTCGGATTGGTTGAGAGCGAGGCGTTTAACGGTGCCTTCAAAAAGAATCCCTACAACTTTCAACATTTCAACGTATCCTCCATTGGAATAACCGTGAATGGTGAAGAAATGCCATTCAAACCCTTGAAGCTTTCCTTTGGTGCAAATCCTAGATACATCGAAGCATTCAGCACGCTGTTCTCTGGTACGGGGAAAATGTATTACAACACTGGGAACGACATATCCCGAGAAGAATTCCCTAAAGGTTACGCCGTTTACGCCTTTGATTTAACACCTGATATGTGTGGTGCATCTCCTCATTTTAACGTCGTGCAAAAAGGAAACCTGGCCATTGATATCCAGTTCTCCAGAGCACCCACAGTCGCAGTAAGTCTCGTGTGCTACGGAGATTTCGAGAATACCATTCATATTGATTCTGAGAGAAACGTTGTCTACGATTATTCTGGTTAGATGAACACTTCTCAAATAACGCATGCGCTAAAACAAGATCCTGTAACAAGCAAGAAGTTTTGCGGTGTGTTTCCTAGCGATAAGTTACCTCAGACGATCGACAGATATCCTTGTGGGTTCGTTGCGAACACGGACCCAAGCAGTGAACCTGGGACGCATTGGGTCGCCTTCTACTTCCCGTCGGAACAGAAAGGAGAATTCTTTGACAGTTACGGACAGGCACCAGATTACTATAGGGATTCATTTGGAGACTTTTTAGATAAACAATCTTACGCATGGGATTTTAATAGACGTAAATTGCAAAGTTCTTGGTCAGATGTGTGTGGCCAGTATTGCATATTTTACCTTAGTCATAGAGCAAGAGGACAAAGCATGAATACGATCGTACAGTTATTTGATAATAATACTATGTTAAACGACGCTAGAGTGTTTCAGTTTGTTAAAAATCATTTCAAAGTAATAGTAAAACAAATAAATAACCTTAATCAGTTTAGTAAAAAGATGATTCAATAAATGTTGTAAAAAATCAATATTGTGTGTGTGTCTTGATTTGTGCGCAAAACTAATAAGCAAAAATGACAACAAATGACAGGTGAAAAATATTTTATTGAATAGAACAGTTACATGATTAATAATTATGCCAGCGTTTTTCAGTTTGTTTGCCCCCTTCACGTCGCTTTAGAAGATCTTGAAAATATTGTGACGGACTTGCACGTTGTGGGCTAAAGGGATCAGGTGAAGTATCAATTTGCTTCCATCTCTCCTCATTCCTTACGAGATCTTTAGGCATGTTCATCTTGGATAAAGCACGAAAAAACTCTCTTGATCCAGTAGGATTAAAATTTCTTCTCGACCTCAAGGCATCACTGACCAAATCAGATATGTTGGAATGGGGAATTTCTTTACCGTCCAGGCTAACTTGTCCAGATTCATCCCAAGAAATAACGTCAGGTCTTGCTTTCAATCGATTTAACAGTGCTGTAGCTCTTGCACGCATGGTTTTAGGTATATGCTCGACCACGTCTGCGTCAGATAACCTTGCTTGTTCTATGGGCTCAGGTTCTTGTTCCGTATCAGGCGCTATCCGAACGGTAGGTATTTGACCATCTTTTTGACGTCTCAAACTCAGATAACTTTCCATGTTCGCATTGTACAATTTCTGTTTTTCAGCATCGGGCATACTCGCGCTCTGAAGAATCTCCGACATCTCTGTATCTTGATGCATCATGTTGGTCATAATAGGGGTAGTCTCAAGCTTTTGCTTCTGCTCATATCTGTTAAGCACGTCTTCGGGAACCAGCACCATTCGTTTTGCATGCTTCATTTTACTAACAAGCTACTAAGTACACTTAATACGGGTGGTAAGAGAGCAGTCAATAGATTCCCACCTTTTTGATTAAGGTGCTTCTTCTTCTGTTTTCTTGACACTTTCTTATTCGCTAAAGCACGGAGATGTGTCTTGTAGCGCACCAATCGTCGCTTTTGACGCGGTGTCAGTGGGATAACGCCTTTAAGTAGATTCAGGGAACACTCGCAAATAGCCGTGATAACATTTGCAGGAACATTGTCGATAAGCAATTTTCGCAATTTAGGTTTAGATTTCACCATGACTTGAAGATAGGGAAGACTTCCTCTCATGCGCTTTGACATCTTGCAAATGATGAATTTCCAAAACATACGTCGCTTAAGTACGCTTTACGTAGACAATTTGTCTCTCCCCAGGCAGAATGTTGGTTCTCAATCGCATGTTCTCTGGTGTCAACTGATGACAATCAATCATCAAGTATCCATATGGTTTACTCGTAGCATCTTCAAACGACTCCATGAGGTAATTGGTATGTTTAGGAAACATTTGTCTGGCAAGTGTCGAGATACCAAGTGAGTCGCGAGGATTTCGGAAAATCAACAAGTAGTGGGAATTAAGACTGATCGTTCGTGACAATTTACCAGGTGGAAAAAGGTTTTGGGTAAGGAATAAAACAGATATACCACGATGATGAGAGCCGCGTGTAAATAGGTCCGAGACGCGTGTATCATTTGAACATTGAGACATTAAATCATCCAAAATTACTAGCGAGTTATCGTGTCCCTCTACCATAGCATACAAGTCATTTGGAAAACCATCCACAAACTCGATGTTTGGTAGTCTCTGGGACAGGTCATCAAATTCTTTTTGATGTTCCCCATAACAGTACAAAATCTTCGTCGGAACAGGATAAAATAGCTCTTCCAAATTATCCAGCATGGAACGAACAAGATGCGATTTCCCGCTTTGAGACTGACCACAAATGTAATAGTTCGCAGGAGTTCGAAATCTCACGTCCATCGTGTTCATGTGCACAACACGGACTGCGTTATTATTTGACGTGTCCGTTTGTTTTATAACCAGAACCGAGAAATCACTCTTCGGAAAAGACTCTCTTGGATAAAAAATTCCTTAAAATCAAAACGTTTCAAAGGGGCTGCAACCAAACGAACGGCCCTACGCGTAGTATCTTCAGAGGCATGTATCAAATAAACTAATGCCAGATAGGCTATGGCACGGCCAAAATTAGTGACATTGATCGTGTTAAAAACAACATGTATTTCACTAGGATTAACATTCAATATCATTTGATTGTACAATGATTCGTGACGCTCAAGCAGACAATTGATATGATGAGATAATGTTCTCATGTCAATGTCAACGCCATTTTCCTGCAACTCGTTTAATATTACTTCCATCGCAGCAAAGCAACAAATGAATACAACAGCCAAAACATTTTATTAAAAATACACGTAATCTACAACTGTAACTGGTTTGCAAAATCATGCATGAATTTAGTTGCTAAGTAATTGTTTTTATTACAACTCTGCTTCTCTAAAGGTTTGTTACTAAAGTTCACAGTTTGGAAAAATCCCAATTCTTCGTCAGGTGCCCACTCGAAAAACCGACACGTACTCTCCTTATCATTCGCACAACAGAAGAACAATCGATCTTTGTTGAGTCCTTCTTTCTTCACCTTTCGAATCGCGCACGGAATTCCATGACGGCACTCGGGTTTCGCTAACGGTTGTACATCACCCCACATCCAAAAGGAACACGGCTTCGCCTTTTCTCCACACACGAAGAATGGTCTTCCATAATTCACATTCATCAAATTTTTCACGACACACATTTTCGCAAGTTTATGATGTCCATCGCACCGAGGATGAGGCTGCTCCGTACATCTCCGAGCTGTTATGGCTTTTTCATACATGTAGCCTTCGTCTTCTGTACAAAAGAAATTGCAACTGGGATTTTGACCACAAAACCAAAATGATCCATTGCTTGTTGTGGAATTAGCAGCAGGTTTTCCATGTAAGCACTCCATCGTACAGTTCTGTTGGCAAATAATGAAAACTGGCGCACGATCTCATCCTTATATATTGTTAAAGTACGACCGCTTCCGGTGACGTAATGATCTTGCCCAAACTTGTTCATGTCCTCAGAATTTGTCCTCTCTCCAGTATGAAAGATAATTCAAAATTGACTCAAATTCATTATCCTCGGTGTTTTCACGAAGATCCATCAGCGAATAAACAAACGTTGAATCAGGACTTTTCTCTAGACTGTCGAAGTGCTCACGAACATCTTTATGATACTGTAACTTCATCACTCTAATAGCCTCAACAAACTCCCTCCAAACCATACGCTTAACAATCACTCGCTCTAAGGCTTCCAAACCATACGATTGCCATCTCTCTTGTTCTGATAACATGAGACAATCATGCTGGCGTTGACTCGGGTGGTCGTACTCACAACCACAACATCTCTCTTTAGCAAGTTTACCAACTTCGCAAGCAACAGCCTCTGCATATATAGCCTCTAACAAACTAAAAAGCCTTTTATAATCAGAGGACGAAACTTCGTCTGCATGAACACTGTTGGCCCAGTTCGATTGCTCAAAATGTTGTGAAAAATTCATCTTCAAAGGTTTAGGATGCAGTGAATAAACGAGCAGTCTCTTTTATAGACAAGTGCAATACAATTACGTAATGCTTACTAAACTGGACGTACACTAAGTACGAACGCTCGGACGCACGCTAAGTACGAACGCTTGGACGAACGCTAAGTACGAACGCTTGGACGAACGCTAAGTACGAACGCTCGGACGTACACCCCCTGATGACGTCATTCGTTTGAATCACTTCCGTTATTGAATGGGGTAACCTACTCCTGACTCGCACTTTTTCATGCCTCGCACTTCTACCTAGCATGCTTCGCACTTTTTTTCATGCCTCGCATCGTGCCTCGCTGCCTCGCATGCCTCGCTGCCTCGCACTATAGTAAAACTCCTCACCTGTTTGTTAGTTTCGTAACAGGAGAGTCCAGAAAAATGTCTAGCGTAAAGTGTAAACATATACATGTTCCAATTTATGTACTTTTATTGTATTTACCTAGCTTTAATTCTATTAGTTTACATATGCAGAGAAAACTGAAATAATGAAAAATGAGAAATTATAAGACTTCAAAAGCTTACAGACTGCAGACATATTAAATATACATTCAGTAACAACACGCGAATTGCTATAAATAGCAACGTTACAGTCTAGTATAATGATATGATGATTTGTTGTGCTTTTGTTGTAAGTAGGCCACTAAAATATATTGAAAATCCTTCTAAACGATTCTTTATAAAGTATACAAAGCATATAAATTGATATCGAAACACAAAATTCAAAGTTTTGAACAATTTGAGCTTCGTGACTCTGGTATAGACGTATGGGCCTAATGATTTATTACTGGAAATCACCAAAATGAGCTTATTTAAAAGTCTCGCGTGAGGCTCCAAGGCAATAACCCAAGCTAGTTTTTATATATAACATGTAATCATGCCATACCATTCCGTGGATGAAATATAAACAAATTCACGATTATCGCACATAGTAAATTTCCCCTTCAAATCCAGTGACAAAATGCAATTCTCAAATTTGACTAAAAATAGCCAATTTCAACAACGTCTGTCAGGCCAGCTAAAGCCTCCTGGGCCATTCCATATTGATAAAATTGTTCTTTAATACTTGAATTATAGTCATTGTACCATCAAAACTATCTGCGGGCAGTTTTGAATCCGTCGCGAAGTGATGAAACTGACCATGGCAGCGGCTTTGTCTGTGGCTAATTATAGCCTCCTAGAGACAAATTCTTGATTTCTGATATTTGTACGTTTATCGACCAAATATTGAAAATCTAACCCAAACACCATTTATAACTAGGTATTACCTTAATTTGAGCAAAATATGAACGAAATCTATTTTTCATCTATTGCCACTGTTTGCTCGATTTTTACGGACAGTCGCTCTTAAATGTTAAAAAATATTACTTTTGACCATCCACAAACATGCAAGCACTAGTCAATGAGGTCAATCAATCATGCATTAAATAATGATTTAATTTTCAAAAAGACGTTTCTTGTTTAGCTTAAAAATCACCTTTTGTTTCGATGTTTACACTTTGTCCCACTTTGTCCCACTTTGTCCCACTTTGCGATGCAAATCGTGCAGAGGCTTCGCGCCTTCCTTCGCCTTTCCCTTCGCCGCCTGCGCTCCTTCCCCCAGCGGCTACGCTCGTGTTCCAAGATCCGCCATGTAAAGTGTAGTGAAATGTATCTCATTGTAATATTAAATCCTAAGAAAACTAAAGCCTCTGCGGAGGAGAGAGGATTATTTCAGTTAAAGATACGAATTTAGAGAAATTATTTTGATGTTGAATAACAGGCGTAACATTCAAATGAGCGATAAAATTTGTCGCATTTGTGCTTATGTAATTCTGAAGAAACGGAAGTCACATTTTGACATAATTTTGTTCGCTAGAATATCGATATTTATTTATTCGATTGTTCTGATTCTATCGAAAGATATCGGCAGGTCTGCTACACGCTCGGGAGACAAGGAATCACAGTTCCTTGTTTTGATGTTCAAAAATATTAGAATTGCATGGATCTGGAAAGTTTGATTGGCTGAACGGAAAGCTCGCAGTTAAAAGAGAAGGGTCTGGATACCACAATGTTGGTCTTAACTACGCATGCCACTGCGATGGATAAAACAAACTGAAACCGTCCGGCTTTGCAATACACGGTTGTATAGACGGGCGGAGCCGAAAAAATTGCGACCAGTGCAATAAATCTCTTATCTTTTGGCGAACTAAATCTATGTCAAAATTTGGCTTTTTCTCTTCCGAACATAAGCAGAAATGCGCCTTTTAAAGTTCTATCGCTTATTGAATATCATGCCGGTTATTTAATATTAAAATGATTTCTTCACATTTGTATCCACGACCGAAATAATCACGTATTAAATCTTCATACGAAGACGCCAAGATGGCCGCCATGATGTTTCGACAATATGCCGTGATGTTATAATAAAAAAGTGCCTTGGCGCGGCATTTCTGGGCCACCATAAATATTTATACTGCTCGGTGATAACTGGGCATGAAAACGTATTGTACGAACGGTAATTCACATATGGTCAATCAAAGTTTGATCCCAATTGCGGTACGCAAGGTGATCGATAAATGACATGTTCTAATCACTGAGCTATACTATATATGTTACTGGAGGACCTGCTCGGCATCAAAAAGTGTCGCCAAAAACATGGCGGATCTGACGCCATTGCCAAGACTACTAGTCCCTAGATTCATGGCAACTACCACTGTCCCAACCGCGATCCTAAGCTTTCGACGATGTACTTCACCCCTCTGGTTTTAGCCCAAAAATTTTGTTTTCGAGGCAAAAATCTCATTGAAAATCTTCATATTTTTATCCCAGTTTGCTTGATTTACAACGGACACTGCCTTTTTGCGCCGCTCGCATGTATGAGAACTCTTCAAACAAGAACTAGAAGAATATTTTTATTCACCGGTAAGATTTTTATATTTGAATATTTCTAGATTCTAGCTTGCTTGATTAAACTCGATAGAAATACAAATCCCCGGAGGAAAAATGGTTGGGAATTCTGTAATTTTATTGTTCTTGTGATTTACCACTAGCCTCTGTGTTTTCATAGGGTTTTAAAGGCTGTTTATGGTGTCAAAATCCTTACTGCATGTGCACTTATATTGATTTAGTACTACAGACTTTATGAGGTTATGCAATAACCAAGGTTAGCAACTTGGGAACCAAGTATTCTGACGTCAGCACGTCACGTGACCGGAGGAAGGATGGCGCATGGGGAGTAGGTGACATCTATCATTCCAAGTCGGACGTCCAAACGACAACAACGTACGTTTAGAATATTTTTATTTGTGTTCGTCTTGCGCGTTTTTGAGTTGTTGCCTGTAAGAATTGGCTATGGCGTCTGATCAGAGTTCTGCATCTGAGTCAACGCCGAATGGCGGAGAAACTCGTACTCCTAGTCCGTCAATTCAGTGGGCTGCTGCGTTCCAATCACCGGAGTTTACAACGGGCCTTCAAGCGGCAATTACTCAAGCATTGCGCCAGTCAAGAGCACCGATCGACCAGAGTGCCAGCCTGGAAGAACTGGGGAATCCTGCAAACACGTTTCGGGCTCCTACACGGACGGTCCATCAGCTAGAGACTCAGGTAGGAGGCTCACAATCTCGGCAGAACACAGGTATGTTGAATGCTCCATTGTTTGTCGCAACTAGTGAATTAAATGGCGCAGAAACGCACGCCGATCCGTCTGTGAACATCACGCAAACTCGACCCAATGGAATATCGGAAAATCACGAACTTGCTAGACAATTGTGTCCATCTGCGTTTGTTTCTAACTCGAGCCCCGAAAACGCTTTTGTCCTCGGCCCTGGCAGAGCTCCAATTCCAACAAAATTGGTTAAACGAATCGTGACTCACGAGTTTATTGAAATGTCGGAGTTAAATCCCGATAACCTAGCAGAACCTCAATCAGAAACGGCGGTTTTCTCTATCGAGGGCTCTTCTATTATCCCCAAACCGGCATCTACCAAGAAACGTGATATATCGGATATTCTAACGTGGGTCAAATGTTTTAATAGCTATACCGCCGTGCTTACGCATTTTTCCCCATCCCGCAGTCGAGATCTTTTGGCGTATATGGCCCTAATCATTCGCACGTCTAACGCTTTGGGGGCATGACATGGCTACAATATGATCGCGCATTTCGCCGAGAAGCCGCAGCTAACAATACGCAGGATTGGAGTGTGATGCGGCCGGATTTATACAATTACAACACGGCCTTTGTAAACCGTAATCCCCCGCAAGAGCATAGATTTCGCAAGCCCCGGGGTAGTTCCACATCGCGGCCATGTTGTTACTCATGGAACTCGGGGCGTTGCACCAGCAGCTGGGACACCTGCCAATATAGTCACATTTGCTCCGTCCAAAATTGCAAAGGCTATCACCGGCGTGTCGAACACGAGCGCTTTTCCTCAGGAGAAAAAAAGCGCCCTTATGAACAAGCAAACTATTCACGGCGCGCACACTCGAAATGAGTTAGTTGAAACCCCGCAGGCGGCCGTTTCCGGGCTAATTATTATTATTAAAAATCTTATTTTACAACGGTTATCCTTCAACACACCTAGGTTATTGATTTCCAAGGAGCCGTTCACACTATACTAATCTATATTTACAAATGGAAGCAATACATAATAATTACATAATGTTAAAGTTATAAAGATATCACACGTTAACTAAACACCTATTACTAGTTATAAAAGATATAAAACCATGCAAAACTGACTGGCCTTAGTTACATTTACATTTAATGTTTAATACGATCAAGCGCAGCCTTAAATTGCCTAATTGTGGCATCACTTGTTTTTGCACATCTCGGTAAATTATTCCATGTTTTAGCACCATTATAGCTAATGCTTTTTTTTCATAAAATTTGTTTTGGACTTTTGTAGAGTAAACTCATTTCCGTTGCTACGTAAATTATAATTAATGTTATTTTTAATTTCAAACAGGTTCATCAAATTCTCTGGTAATTCATTTCTCTTCGCTTTGTACATGAATACTAAACTATTTTTTTCCCAATGATCAATTAGGGGTTTCCAATCCAGTTCAGGGATTTCCAATCCTTTAACAGGAAACTATTTTCATGAACATTTAGTTATAGCGGTATCAGATAACTTTCCTATTAACGTTGACATTTTGCACACACAATTGACAGCACATCCTGATCGTGTGAAAGTTAATTACATTGTTAATGGTCTCAAAGAGGATTTTCGCACGGGTTTTTATAGAGATAAAATTTCGCTAATCTCGGCACAGTCGAACTGTTTCTCAGCGGATGTTCATCCATTGATAAGTATCTGGCTGAAGAAATTCATGCACGTCGGGTAATTGGGACTTTTGATCACACTCCCTTTCCAAATATACACATCGGTCGCTTTGGCGTCATTCCGAAGAAAAACAAACCAGATGCATGGAGGCTAATTTTAGACTTATCATTTCCCACTGGACATAGCGTTAATGATGGTATCTTGAAAAACGTATTTCCAGTTGTGTACAGTACTGTTCAAGATGCCATCAGAATGATAGTTAAGACAGGCAGGGGCGCTTTAATGGGTAAAACCGATGTCCAGAAAGCATACCGCATCATCCCAATCCATCCAGGGGATAGATATCTCCTGGGCATGAAATGGCGAGACAAGTACTTTGTGGATATCGCCTTACCGTTTGGTCTCCGCTCAGCGCCAGGTATTTTTAACTCACTGGCAGATCTGTTTGAATGGATTGTAAAATACAACTACCACGTACCTGACCTGTTGCACTACTTGGATGACTTTTTCACGCTCGGCCCTGCAGGGACTCTTGTTTGTGCACACTCCCTTAATGCGATTCAGCAAG